CTTGTTTGTTTCCGAGTGCGCTCCACGTGTAGCTTGGATTGTTTTCATGAACGGACATCTGCTCTCCATGGGCTGTGCTTCGTATTTCCCGCTGGTTCACGCATCGTCTGTGAGTGTTATTGTCCGACTTAATGGAAATATGTTGTATGCAAATGTTTATGTTTGTAGGAATGCAGTGAGTATTCCTTGCGGCTAAGCTACTAGCGGCTAGGCTGGTTAGCCTCTCAGTTTGTGCACCGTAGGTCATTGTGTGAAGTATTCTGTTATATTTTAGCTCGTCAGTTGGGCAGTCAATAATAAACTGTTATGTCTGTATTGTCTTTACAGTTTCACCAAGTAAAGAGACTTCAGTAAAACTGACAACTGCGCTGGAGTTTTCTTTCAAATGGTTTAACTGGATGGATAGCTAGCTCAGTGCTAGTGAGACCCTTACAGGTTGTGTTAATAACAAGCTGTCTGTAATCTTTAGGAGGACTACAGGAGGACCATATCAGAGATCGATGAGAAGGAGTACATCAGTTTGAAAATCATCGTCTCAGAGCTCAGGAACCAATATGTGAGTGTTGATTTGTCATTTTAGAGCTGCATTAAAACCAGGTCAAAAGTCATACAACTGGGACAGAAGTCCTCTGTACAATACTCTCAATACACATTTGCAGGAATAAGTCCTAAACCTATACATGAGTCAGCATTTTACCACCTGCTGTCTATACAGTTATGAAACCTGAATATAGAAGTCTACCCAGAATATTTGCCAGTGTAACCTTAAAAGGATTTAGTAAAAGAATATATAAATCTAATACACAAATAGTTTAGTTTTCTTCTAACTTTAATCAAACTTTTGGTAATTTAATATGAGTGCAGTACCACTCATACAAACCGTTTCTAGTGTTTTCTTGGCTATTCTTACTTTCAGGTTCCGGGTTAGGGTTAGATGAAAACGAGATCCAAATCTTATTTCCCCAAACTCCTTTTATGTTTGAGTCAGATGTGACCTGCACAATGTTCATATTAATATGTCTGCTTGTTGCTTATAGGTCATCCTTCATGATATGATCCTGAAGAACATTGAGAAGATCAAGAAACCAAGAAACAGCAATGCTGAAGCTCTTTACTGACAACCTACACACACACACACACACACACACACACACACACACACACACACACACACACACACACACACACACACAAGCTCAGTCAACAATACTGACCAATAATTCTATTTTTTGTCGTGGACTATCTGTTATTTTTCGGTTTTTACAACCTCGGGACAATTCACGACGTGTCACATCAGGCGCTACTTGGGCAGATATTTGCTGTTGCCGGGCTCACTGTACTGTACTATCTGTATAACCCCAGCTGTGTGGGTCCATAGTGAGCTAAGGTAATCCATTAATATGCTTTTGAAAAAGCAAACAGATACATTTCAGCTGTTCCTTTTGGCCTGACCCTGCATTCTCCCACATGCTGTCTGACACGTAACCATCGGTCTTGACTTCTCAGTACTCTGCAGCGTGACCTCTGACTTTTTCCCATAAGTACTGGGCTGCAAGCTGTAGTTGCAAAGCCCCTCCTCCCATCTGCTCCACTGGGACTGAAGCTCAGAGCCTCCTGCTGCTTCTCTTCCTGTCAGGGTCCTGGTTGAGTTTTGCTCTCATGGATGCCGTGCCTCTCCCAGGATTTATTGTCAGTTTTTGACACTTTTTTTTAGCTCCTTCCTTTTATTTAGTTCATACCCCGTGTCTGGAACTTGGACAAAATTGGAATTTAAAACTCCAACTCCAGCGAGTCCTCTCCTGGTGGCCCTTAAACTGTCAAGAACTCCCATTTCAAACAATATGCAGAGATGCGACTGAAAAGTTTTGTCCGGCATGACTTCATTTCTCATTTTTGAGTCTTGGTCTTGACGTGAAGAATATTTTGTATTCTTCCCCCTGCCCACTTTCTTTTTTATTCAGTGCTTGTTGTATCTTAGCGTCATACTGTTACTCTGACATTTCAAGAAAACCCCATTTAGCCTGCCCTCCTTTTACTGTGACACCCTTGCCAAACCAAAAGGAAAAAAGAGAGTGTCTGTAGTTCCATGAAGCTGTTATAGTTTTTAAGGCCCTGCACAGTTAATATCAGTTTCAATCTGGACTCTTCAGTTTTCCCCAGATGTATTCTGCTATAATAATGTTATTTTGTATTTTGTTCACATTGTGATGCCATATTGAAGCCCGGTGCTTTAATGAACTTTTGCAACTGACCTTATGGGAAATTAAAAAGTCACGTCCAGGATCGCCTTTAAAGTGCATGCACAAATGTTTTTATTTCAACTTTTTATGCAAATAAAGTGTTAAAGGAACAAATCTCTCTGCGTGCTTGAAAATGTGGTCGAAACAAATTCAAAATCAATTGAAATGTATATCCATGTAACATTTTATTAAAAATAATACACCATAATTGCAGTCTCACAGGATTCCACTCAGGTGTTTTTACTGTCGGTCGTAAAAATCCCATGGTCCCATTCGCTCGGTGAAAGCTGAGTCACAAGCATGCTCAACCTGGAGTCTCCAGTGTCTAGTCCTCCACTGCTGTCACAAATATCAACGTTAGCTACAGCCAACGTTAGCCTGCGTTCATATTACCTATAGGCCTATATCAAACGAATACAAGCTGGTCGTGTCTCCTCAGAAAATATAGTAGCACCTTTCTCTATAAGACCCCTCAAAAAAAGCTCAACCTGCTCCAATTGGCTCGTTAGAAAAATTACTATTGTACCCTTATTCTGAAGTGGTTGGTGGCGAAACTGATTGAACCTGCATGCAGGAGGGGTAGCCTAATCGAAATTATTATATCTGAATGATACGTTTTCACAGAACAGTGACTGGGTTGTCTTATTTTAGTTGGTAGTTGGTACACATGCAAAATATCCAAATATATATGCACGCATTGAAAAAATGAATACTTAATAAAAGGAACTGTTTAATTAATGACAACCCCTTGACAGAGAATAAGAAAGTCTAACACAAACCCAGTCATGACATGACTGACTATCTGTAATGACTGTAAGAGTCGGTGAGGGATGATAATTTATTTCGGCAAATTACTCGGACCTACTAATTGACCTAACCAAAGTTATTGAGTCTATGTAAGTTTACTGCTTGGCTCAGATCCACCAACGTCAGCAAGATCTCACCTCTATTAACTCCTGAAGAACCCGGTTCAATTAACTGCTGTTTCAATTCAGACAACTCTCTTAAATCTGTTTAAGCGATCCCGAAGGATTTTGATATCAGTAAATGAGGTGTGGCCCTACCTAACTAATACAGGGTTTTTACCTTCTCTCTCTTTACAACATTATAATCATACTAAATCATGCTGTGATCATGTTCTAATATGGAACTTTAATTCACAGTTTTACATTTATTACCATAATTTGTAACTTCAACTGCCTAATTCAGTTGTGATTTTTATAGAATGTTAGACGTCTTACTTCATAAAAGACCGGTGATATTAAAAAGCTCATTCAAACTTTCATTCACCAAAAACAGTTCATTTTCACATTTCGACATTCGTATACTTCAACTAGTCACGCATGAATTCGGAGGACCTGTCCTCACAGGTGGCAGGGTACTAACTTTCAACAAACATCAATTCATTTCACAAAGAAATTCACTCAGCATTCAACCAAGAAATGTGAGAGATATTTACCAAGTCTGAGAGAACCTTACCGAGAGCTATTAACCCAGCTCTGAGGGACAGAGCTTTTACCGGGTGAGAGTATACCAGTAAACCCCCCCCCCTGCTCTCTCTCTCCGCTTGCTCCCTCTCCGCCAGTGTCTTTATTAGACCCTCCAGAAAAACGCGATTCTGCGATCGCAGAATTTACCGCATAATCAGCCAAATGGCGCAGATTTTTAAAAAGCCGCATATTTATCAAAAGGCCACATAATCCCCGCATTTTTCCACACAAAGTTGAGAAGAAAAAAAAGTTAACAATTCTTGACATGACGTCATCAGCTCGCGCATCACAGAATGTAAACAACACTGCATAGAGCTCATTTACCAACGAACATTTGTACTAAAGACCGGGCAAAAAGTGGGGGGAAACTATTCTGCACCCCGTGCAACTGTGTGTTGCAGCATAAGAGAAAATCGACGGTGGCGACCCACTTTGATTCATTCAAACATTCGAAAATGCTTTCTGCTGCTGCGGACAAGAAAGCCATTCAACTCCCGTTCACCGAGGGATCAACCTCCAAAACCCTTTCGAGGGCTACAAGAAACGAAGTGAGTAGCCTACAAGATTGAAGCTGGTCAGATAACGAACGAGTAAATGAAAACAGAATGAGGCGGAGAAGTGTGTGTGTGTGTGTGTGGGGGGAGTGATTCAAATAGCCCAATTGCTTTTACAATAAATAAATATTGAATGTGTTTAATTGAATAGTAAAGGGGTTTAACGTTAGTGGCAGGTTGTGTGTGAGAGAGAATAAATAAGACAGCCCAATATTTAAAAAAAAATCTATTATTTTTCGCAACTTTCAGCAATTTCACCGCATAAAATCACATAAAAACCCTGCATGTTTAATCGCATAATCAAGGATTTTAGCCCGCATAATCAAGGATTTTTGCCCGTCGTTTTTCTGGAGGGTCTAATTACTGGATCAGCTGCTGCATGA